CTCGCCATACTCGCTTAAAGGAAGCGATTACGATAGATCTCAAAGGGGTTTAGAGGGGACGTGGGGGTCTCAATAGTACGCCAATGGCGAAAAAAGCAAAGAAATCCGTCAAAAATAAGCAAAATAGTACCCCTTTGATTGCCCTTTCATTTTCGACCATGGATGAGCGACGACAAAGAAAGACGTTGTTCGGACGTGTTAACCCCGATAGCCGCCATCATGCCAACAAGCATAGTGTTTTGATTGATAAGGCAATACGTGGGCAAGTTGGAAGATACAGCCGCTAGAAGGGAAATGATCATCCAAAATGAAAAGCCAACAGCAAACAGTCCATCCAGATCATCAACAAAACTAGTGGGCGTCACGTCACTGGGGGCGGACGCGGGTCCTGCTCAGCAACCACAGCACCTTTCGCCGTGGGAGGCCACACATCGCTTCCTTGGCAGCCAAGTAATTGCTCCGTGTGGCGCAGGTTCTCCCCCGATGCGAAAATTCCTTATCGTAATCGCTTCCTTTAATTGCCTAATCGATGCGTATTCTTTTCCATTTGAATCATCGCCTAATCGCATGTGCGATCGCCAACTTTGAACCAGGGTGAATATTGCTTGAGGATTCCTCAACGGCACGTCGAGGATTTTCGCCTGATCCTTTACGTTCTCGCGCGCGGATATTCACTCTCGCCACCCGCGAGCCGTCTGTGCTCTCCGCGCGTACATTCACTCTCGGCACTACTCTCGCACAGTAGAGAGCGATGGTCGAGGAATTCCTCGACCGTTATTCACCCTGCTCTGAACGCTCCATTAGCGTGTTGTTTGCGCGTAGTGTAAGATACTGTTTAGAGTTAAGAAGTCAAGTGAATTTTAAATTAGGCGAGGCGATACGATAGGAGCTGCAAAGTTTGACCTCATCATGGATCTTAGTCACTTTCGATGAGGACCCCTTGCGCAACGAATAGGAAGTGGACGCTATTAGCAGGAAACTGTAGCAAACATCTGGTACGCAGCCTACGCTCCATGAGTCGACACCTGAACGGAATGGGCTGTAGCAGAATGAAGTCTCGATGGAAACAGCATGCATCCACGACCGAGAAGGCCCTAACCTTTGCATAAATTTCATTCTACGAACCGCATACACTTGAATTCCCAGCAGGTAACCAGTGCAGATGAGTCAGGAGTCTGCCTCGATAACAGCATGCGGTACGCCTGATGGCTAGCCTGGACCCACCATCTCAACCAGAGCCAGCGCTCTCTTATTCAGGATTCACCTCCATTTCGTTGTAGTCGCTAGGTGTGCCGTTTAGAGAACCATTTCGCTTTATGCAGACAAGCATTGCGAAGGTGTGCATAGAATAGGTCCTCTGATCTTGGCCACAGTAGTCGGTGAGGAAAAACTACGTCTCCGAAACAACTTCTCAAAATCTCCCTTCTCCGAAAGGACCGCCCAAAATCATTGCAGAGATAATTCGCCACCTTTCTGGGAAACTGACTGGATCACGACTCCACATCTATCGTATAGCCCTGACATTGCTCTATCGTACTATCACCTTCCCAGCTCCCTGAGGCAGCAGATAGGAGGGAAAACAGACACTAAATACTCTACCTTAAAAACGACGTCTCCGAGCTTTTCGTCTCATAGTTTCACTCGTTGTGGGAATGATGCATCCATTCGTTTCCTCAGCTAATGGAAACATATCAGTCACCATGATGGCGTTTATATTTTTTATAGCATACTTTTTTATGAAAGATAAAACTTGAGGAAATCAAAGTGCTTTGAGAGTGTGCGCCGAAGATTATTGTTAACTCAAATCAAAGTTCAGTCGCATTTCATTACCCAGACGAGTTTAGGCTGCAACCAGGGTGGTCGTCTTGGGAGAGGTCTTACCTGTCGCGTTGGCACATTTTAGGGGCGGCGATGGCGAACCACAGCTGTCCCAACGAAATCAGTCTAAGGCAGGAGATTGGTAGTAATGGTACCACCACTACACGACCCTCGCCTACCGTTTTCATATATTTACAAGATAGTATGGTGAATTGATTTGTGCCTTGGAATTGAAAGTTGATGTGTGTTACTAGAGAGGAGGCGGCAGCAAGTGCTCTTATTTCGTCTGTCCTCTCGTCCATCGTGTTATTTGTCACGAACCCGTCAAAAAGCGACCTCCCACTTCCATAGCCACGATCGCTGTAATTCTACTTGGGATGGTAAGAAAGTCCTGAGCCGATTTTTCGAAAGCTCCAGAACTTTCGCTTATTGATCGATACCTAGAATCTGCTACGTGATAGATTATCGCTGTCGATCATACTTCTCCGCAGTAGGTATATATTAGCCGGGTTGCCTTCTTTAACTTTAATCATGATGTCGATTCCACAAGAGCACTTTCGAGCGATCATCTTCAATCTTCAAGTCGAGGAGTCGTTTAGAATGCTCGATCAACCTCAAATTTTTTAGGATGACTGCAATATGTTTTGTACAGCCTTTAGAGTTAGTGAAGAATCGAATGCAACTGTCCGGCAAAAGTGGTAAGAATGACACACTTCCTTTCTAGTTTATGAAACTCTTTTATGTGAATTCGTGCCGTCGTTCTTGAAAGCCGTCAATCACTCCAACACCGTGTAACACTTGAAGAGAGGGACTGATATGTGCCAATTGCAACCAGATCAAATAGAGGGTGGGCATAAACAGGGTGACAAGGTTGAATTACAACAAACGCTCGTTTTCCCGTGTATTTTTTTGCCGATTGTTTTCAAAGATTATGATGTAGTCTGAAAAACGCGCAATCTCTTGTACATTTTGATGTACAACACTTGTGTATTTGCTTCACTCTGGAGCTTACACGTTAGCGAAAAAGACTGCTCACACTGCATGAGTGCAACTTGAGCTCGAAGGTGAATGCGATTCCTTTACCTCGTTAGCTACCAATCTGCCGAAGACAACCATGCTTCGACTGATACACTACCCCACAGAACTGTTAGAGCTCAAAGTGGATTGCCTTTTCAAAATGATAATCAAATGACGGTGCTGCTGGATTACAGCACGCGGGAGCGGAGACAGTGAGGATTGGCTGGCCCAGTGCGCTGCAAGCACCTCTGGTCGCGGAAAAGCCGTATCTAGTTGTTCGGCTACTGCTTCCACTGATACTCATATACTCCTATGCATATACGCTTTGTAGACCCCCTCTAAGTTTTCAGAAGCTGAGAGGTGATAGCTTTATTGACAAGATTAGGTTCAATGTATCGAACATTGTAACTGAAATCATCTTAAAGTGCAGAAAAAGAATAATAAGCAAGGAGACAAGGAAGGAGGACAACGTGACCAAGCTTTTGCCCGTGTCTACGAAATATGTGGAAGGAATTTATCCTACCATTTTTAATCGGCTAAGTGGGTCTGTTAGTGTGTATGGGTGTGTTTAACTGAAAATTGGGAGCTTAAGCCACAACAATGATAAGCGCCATGGTTATTGCACATGTTATAGGGGCGTGCGGATGAGTAGTAGAGCACAACGGTAGGTACTCGGTATAGACTGAGGAGTCGATAGTAGAGTCTGATATAATGGCCAGTCACAGAGCAAGGTGTATCGCGGACATTTTCGTTTGTCGTTCATCAATTCAGGTATTGACTTTTCATCGAAATGCCACTTAGCTCTGACCAATTGTGATGGGGGTGGGACCGGTCCATTGTTGATGGGAGATTGGAAGTGATTGCAACTGATAAGAGCTGATAAGGCGCGTCAGGACACGAAATTCGTTAGTTCCGTTACATTAAATCGCGGTCGACACCGGGACCTCGATATTTTACAATTGTAGAGGGGGAGTGAGACAGGGGCCATTTGTCTCGTCTGGCATAGACTATGCGATCTGTCAACTTCAGACGGGCTGATTTCAAGGTTCAGTTAATTACCAGCTACTTAGTCTCGCGATTGGGACTCATTCAGGAACACCCAAACTTAAAAAGGTGTTGGGTGGGATGGCACGGAAACATTGCTTGTGGGTGAAGGAGGGTGAGAGGGGCTGTCAGGGCGCCTTTGGGCGCAAAAGTAGCCATTCCGTTGCGCAGTCCACGTTGAAACTAGAGCATCCATACTTACAAGTGTCAATAATGGACTGTTACCTGGACATTGTTGAGTAGTGTGGACTGAAAGTCCACTTGAGCAGTAATTAATTAGAAAGACGAGCCTGACAAGGAGGCCGTGTGAAATTAGAAGTCCGTCAATTCCACTCATTGCGGCCTCGTTGACACTGGAGAGTCTTCACATATACAAGTGTCATGTAGGATGGACAGGAAAATTGCTTGTTGGTATAGACAGGATGATCGCAAATTACAAAGGCTGCCAGGTCGCCTTAGAAAGCAAAAGTCGCCATTCCGTTGACTCTAGAGTTTTCGTACTTACAAGTGTGCTATGGGGTGGGACCGGGACATTGTTTCGATGTAACCAGTTTGACTTGAGCAGCTTCTTGGTGAATGATACACTCCTAATCTAATACCGAGAGGGCCAGAAACACATTAGCCGCTCAGGACCGCTTAGGATTTCCGAAGAGTGTGAATGTGAGGAAAGGATAAGCATCAGATGCTCACTTATTATGAGAAGCATATTTCATTTTTATTTCGAGCTAACAGCAAAACCCTATTCACCGCTACATTGTCAGGATTCAACGAAAATGCTGGATGTTACAGAGTTTGTAATAAATATACCAGTTCAGCTTCGCTTTCACGCGCATCCATGGTGGACTTCAATGAAACTGGAGAGCCTGCGGAACCTCAGGTCATTCGACTAACATATCCAATAGTGAGGTGCTTTGTGGAGTAGATCAGCAGATGTTCCACAAGTCCTCCAGTTTCGCTGAAGCCTACCGTGTGATGCGCGAGATAGCGGGCGGAGCAAAACTGGTAACTAAATATCCTTTATTGAATTTGCCACTTGAAGTGCATGTACGACCTCTGTTTCAGAAAACTATACATGTTATGCTTAAAGGCGATTAAGGAGCGAATATGTTCTGTAATTTTAGGAAAAAGGAAGTACAAGACCAGCTTTCATGCCATATCATCCATCATCAAGAACGAAGGCGTATTAGGGCTCTACAATGGATTAAGTGCTGGGTTGTTGAGGCAAGCAACCTACACTACAACAAGACTTGGAATTTATACGTGGCTGCTTGAAAACTTCACAAAGTAGGTGGAAGAGCTCGTTTCTATATGAGACTATGCAGGATACTCCATAAATACGGTAACAAAGTTATAATGGCACAAAATGAAACGAAATGAAACGTTGATGAACATTACACCTATTACCTTACTATCGCTGCGAGGATACATGATCTTGAAATAATTATTCGTTACTTACTTAGTTAGTTCCAGCACGATTTGCAGGTGGGAGCTGCGGATACCTTCGGGTGCGGCGCACGACATTTCACTTTGTCACCTTTCATTTCAGGGAGGAAGAATTCGTAAAGTAGTTGCGAAGTCGAACGCTCATACACACTAGTTCTTAACAGACCCCCTCAACACCCATGTTCTTTCGACCAGAATTTGTGAAATCGATAAGGGTTTCAGACAGGGTGA